ATTTATTAATGAAAGATGTGTGTTGACTCGTGTCATTTTTATGTCTGCTCACATTCTTGGTATAGCTGTGCATATCCACAGTTATATCTTCATTGAGTTTCTTTCTGTAACCCCGGTATAGCCGTCGTTCTTTTCTTCAGCTCTTTGTATTGCTTCCAGAACTCTCTGAAGGGCTGGCTTTGTGGACATGAATTCCTTCAGCTTATTTATGTCATGGAAGATTTTTTCTTTCCCCTTTGACTATAATACACATTTTGGCTGGGTATAGTAATATGGGTTGGCATCTGTGGTCATTTAAAACTGGGAACACTTTGGTCCAGGCTCCTCTGGCTTTCATAATTTGCACTGAAAAGTCAGCTATAATCCTAATGGGTTTTCCTATATATGTGACTTCTTGTTTCTCTTTTGCAGCTTTCAGAATTTTCTCTTTGTTTTGTGCGTGTAGTGTTTTTACTACAATGAGCCGTGGAGAGTTCCTGTTCTGGTCCTGTCTCTTTGGTGTTCTGTATGCTTCTTGTATTTGTATGGGCATGTCTTTCTTTAAGTTTGGGAAATTTTCTGCGCCTGCCTCTGCCTCCCAAGTGCTGGGATTAAAGGCATGCACCATCACATCCGGCTCATTTAGTGTTTTTACTATGATGTGCCATGGAGAGTTTCTTTTCTGGTCCTGTCCGTTTGGTGTTCTATATGCTTCTTGTATTTGTTTGGGCATGTCTTTCTTTAATTTTGGGAAATTTTCTTCCACAATTCTGTTGAAGATCTGGTCCATGCCATTGTCTTGGGATTCTTCTCCTTCCTGTATGCCTATGATTCGTAAGTTTGGTCTTTTTATGGTGTCACACAATTCCTGCACATTCAACTCTTATGATTTCTTAAATTTTTCATAATCTTTGCTTGCGTGGTCTAGTTCGTCCACTTTATTTTCCAGTCTTGATACTCTGTTTTCCACTTCATTCCTCCTATTGGTGAGGCTTTCTCCTGTCATTTCTAAGTTGTTTACTGAGTGTTTCACTTCCTTCTTCATTTCAGCCTGAGTAGTCTTCAATATTTCTAGCTCTTTTCTGAGTTCATTCAGAAGTTTATCCCTATCTTCCTTCAGTTCTTTGATTTCTTTGTTTGTGTGTTCTTTAAATTCACTGAATTCTTTTATCATGTTTATAATTATTCTTTTGAGTTCCAGTTCCTGCATTATCTCTAGGGGATTTTCATTGTACTCCTCTAGAGGACTATTGGTATTTGGTGGGGATATGTTATTTTGGTTTTTCATGTTATTTTTTCTCTGTG